GCGAACCCGAGCCCGAGCCCGAGCCATGCTCCGCCCAGATGCGGGCACGGCCGCAAACGCCCTTCCGCGGCGCCCTGAGTTTTAGGCGGGGGCTTCGGGGGCCCCGCCCCCCGCCGCGGCCGCCCGGACACGCGGGGAAGCAGTAAAACCACTAGCAGAAACGTCCTTCCATCGGGGCGGGGCGAGGCGGGGCCGTGTGGAGCCGGGACACCGCATCTTGTGAGCTCGCTGCAGCGGGTGGTCCGTAGCCGCCAGGGACTCGAGCCACCCCCCTTGGAAACTGCCAGCTCTTAGAAGTACTCACTTGTGTTTTGACAACAGACAAGCAATGGAGTTGTTCTTCTGTTGCAAAGACCTGAGAAAAGCGGGACCAGGTCAGAATCTTTTTAAGACGGTGGATTCGTTTTTGACATCTCCCGGTTTGTCTTGAGAGTCATGTTTGCGCACCTAGCAGTGCTCATGTTGCGTGGCACCGCAGTGCACTGGACAGGATCTCGAGGTGCCGTTAAGTTGCTGCACAACCTGTTGGCAACTGCCGCTGCAGGGGAAAGAGCCCCCTTTAATAACGAAGTGCCGCACGGATCACGGGTCTGTGGTGTAGGTGTAGAAAGATGCACCAAGGCACAGGCAGACTTTGCCAGTATTTCTTTCTTTAATGTTTGTAAATCTGGTCATTCCTGCCTTGCTTGTCCAGGGAAAGCATCAACAAGTTGTTAAAAGAAATGTTTTGGGCACTCTTGTAAACAAAATTATTACTGTGGGGAAAGTATATAGGTCCCCAAATGAATTATAGTTTCATAGTTGTTAGGGACTGGAAGGGGAAAAAATCCTGGAAAGTGGCTTCTCAGGGGACAGGAATAGGATTATTCCAGCCCTAGAGTTAAGAGTCCTTTCAGATGATGGTATTTTTTTGCCTGTAGAAGTAGTTTATCTATTGGACGCAAATAAGATGTGCCTAAAGCAATGATGAGTGAAGTATAGTTTGACCTGGTATTACCAAGATGTTGTGCCTTGATTCTGACCAGGGTATGATCACATAATCTTCTCTCTCAGCTAGTTCAGGCTATAGTCTCATCTGCTTCTAAATGATTTTTATGCATCCCTTTAATCTCTCTGACCAATGTATCTAAACGGACATCGAGCAATATGGTGGAAACCATTAGTGGAAAAAATAGGAACAATTCTGTTTTAAGTTCTTGTATAAACATTTATTCAAAAGCTATATTGGTACTGTCAATAATGTTGGGGCCACTGTGTCTTCACTTAACAATCCATTATTTCTGGGGCTACGAGAGGTTCCTAGTTGCTCTTTTTGTCATAGAGGGCGATGTATTAAACTTCAACTATTCTGCCGTTCCATTTAATCTATTTGTAAGAAACCCATTTGTAGTGGAAATAGAGCAATTGTTTGATAGTCCTTGGAGGTCTCTAAACTACATTCTTATCCGGTTCTTTTTTTTTTTCTTTTCAGGCTTGGCTGACAGCCTCACATCCACTTATCTCTCTTTGTACTTTATGGAAGATCATGGAATAATTGAAGGCTGAATAATATATAACAGGAAAAAACACAGGAGTTTTATTACCTTTACATTGGTATTATTGGTGTGTTTCTGAGGAACAGCAATTGATATTTCTCACCAGTGCAATAAATGAATACATGCCATGAAGTATAAGAGGAAACATTACTAGGAAACATAGTGTGGATTTGTGTATGCTCTGTACTCTTTCTGCTGACACGCTGTTCACTTTGCACAGTAGTGAGGTGCTCAAAAAAACTGTATGGGGGGGGTGTTCTCTTTTGTTTTGCTTTGTGAGCGTGAGTAAAGATGGCAAAGCATGTGTCAAAGAAGAGGAAAATTAAGGAAGAAAATAATAGATTTCTAGAACATTGGGAAGTGGATTATACTGAACAGCTATCAAGTGCTGCAGCTTCTTATGCAGTAACTTTGCAGTTAGCCAAAGCAAAGAAACCATACAGTGATGGGGATCTAGTGAAAAAATGTGCCATTGAAATGGCCAGGGCATTTGGGGATGAGAACATGGTGAAAAACTTTGAAACAGTTTCACTCTCTCATCCGACAGTAGCCCAAAGAATTGAAGATATGAGCAATCAGGTATGCGAAAAGTTATTATACAATGTCAAAAAGTGTCGCAATTTTTCCTTATCGTTAGCAGAGATCACTGACCAAACTGATACAAGTCAGCTTCTCATATTTATCAGAACTGTGGAGGAAGATTTCTCAGTCAAGGAGGAGTTGCTGTCTCTTGTCTCATTACATGACACTACAAAGGGAACAGATATATTTGAAGCTCTTCAGAAGAGTGTGAGTGAATATGGTGGTTTTGAGAAATGTACCTGTATTGCCACAGATGGTGGTAGGGCTGTTATCGGTTCTGAATTTGGATTATCAGATCTTCTGAAGAAGTCTGGTGTTACATGCCCCATGATTCACTGTGTGATTCGCCAAGAATCTTTGTGTGGGAAATGGGTGAAACAAGCTGAAGCTGTGAAAGTTGTTGTGAAGGTTACCAGTCTTATTTGTGGTGGAAATAAATCTTTGTTAAACAGTAAATTCCACTCATTTTTGGAAGAAATGCAGTCGGTGTATGGAGATTTACCTCTGGATTCCGAAATTCATTGGCTAAGTGCTGGTAAGGTTCTCATAAAGTTCTTTGCTCTCAGAAAAGAAATTCCAGTGTTCCTAAAAGAACAAGTGAAAACTGACACCACAGAGTTTGAAGAAAGATTTTTGTCTCCCCAGTTCCTGGCCGAATTAGCCTTCTTGACAGATACTACCACTCACTTAAATGAATTAAATTTAAAGTTGCAGAGTAAGAATAATACAATATCAGACCTCTTTGGATGTGTGAATGGGTTTCGTAGAAAGCTAAAACTGTTCAAGGTTGGTCTTGAAAAGGGTGATCTTATACATTTCCCATCTTGCAAGGAACTGGAGAAAGAAATGGAAAATTTTGAAGGTGTAAACTTTTTGGAATTCTCATCCAATGTAGATGCTATGGTGAAAGAATTTGACAATCGCTTTACCGAATTGGAGTTACTGAAAAACACACTGATGCTTTTCAACAACCCACTTGGATCTGTGCTTGAAAATCAGTCTTCCAACGTACAGCTTGAGCTGTGTGAGCTACAAGCTGACCCATTCTTAGCTGGTAGACGAGAAATAGGCCAGGACTTTTTTAAACTTATACCAGAGAATTGCTTTCCACATTTAAGGGACCTTGGTTTAAAGATTGTATCAATGTTCGGCAGTACGTACCTATGCTACAGTGCCTTTTCTACAATGAAGTCTATAAAATCTCAGTATCTATGTTCACTTACAGATGAGGCCCTCACTCGCTCACTTCGACTGACCTTAACTGAGGAGTCAGTTGATATAGGTCCTCTTGTGCAGAAGATGGAGGGGCCGCAGTTTTCACATTGAAAAGTTAACTTTCTTTTTTTTTTTTACTGTGTTACTTGTAGGCAAATGTATCAGTGTTGTTTAAATATGTAGATGTTTTGCTTATGTCCTTCCATGCCACCCAGCAGGTCATTCCCTAGGCTGTAGGTGTGCTGGCCATTTTTCCTCCCTAGGTGCAGCACTTTGCATTTCTCCCTGTTGAACTGCATTCTGTAATTCTGCATTCCATACTTATAAAAGCAGAGAGAGCGAACAAGTTGCCTAGGGAAGCTGTACAATCTCCTTCACTGGAAGCTTACAAGAAAAGGCAACTGGGATGGTTCAGCAAGAGTGAATCCTGCAACTGGACAAGGGTTGGACTGGATGACCCTTGAGGTCCCTTCCAACCCTCTGCAATTGTGTTTAACTTTTTAAAAATTCCCTGTTACACATGTATGACATGTTTACAAAGCTATTTAGGATCAGCCAGATTCTTAATGCAAATAAGTCTAGGAAGGTATAACTTGGCCTGCCTGAGAAATATAGCAATTCTTAACACTTTGAAAATTTTAGATCTAGGTTTACTGCATTTCTGAGGTAGAAGAGCTTAGGACAAGAGACAACAGAACCTTTCACCCAGGGATCTGTGTTTCAGAAGGCTCAGGTTAGCAGTACCCAAAATTCATTGCTGTCTGAATAAGGCAAGTTGCTCATCTGAACAGATAATTGATGCCATCAATCTCCCTTGGTACCAGCCTCAGAAATGACATTGAGTGCTGAACAGGTCAGAGACCAACTATCCTTACATGTTTCCAGCCACGCAGCTCTGCAATTAACTTCAACAAGAAGTCTACAAGACTCACTATTTCATTTATATTTAAAGTGCATTATGACCTTCCCTCTTTTCCTGCTCTTAACCTCTAACACTGATGGTTTCATTTCACAGAACCATCTGTGAAGAGAGAGAACCTGGAACATTGCCACAAAGTATTGCAAAAGCTCTATGCTGAATGTGTTAGATCAGGGGTGTTCAACCTCCAGCACACAGGTCAAATGTGGCCATGGAGCCATGGCATCTGGCCCATGGGGGCTCCCTATGGGTTGGCAAATTTGGTGGTGAGGGAGCAGTGGCAACTAATACTATTACCCCTCCCCTGCTGCCAAATTCCCAAGCCCTGTGGACCAAATTGGGGTTGGCCATGCTCCGCCCCCCAGGGCCAGACTGGGGCTGAGCCACACCTATGGGCTCAGATCAAGGCTGGGCTATTCCCTAACCCCCTTCTCCCCGCCACGCACAGCTGGACCAAGCCCTGCCTTGCCTGTCCCTCACACTGGATTGGGCCCATTCACTGGAGCACTGTCTGTCTGGCCAGCAGGGCAAAAAGGCTGGGTACCACTGTGTAAGATTAGTCTATAACTTACCTGTGGCTTGCAGTAGCTGCAACCAGTTTCTTCTCCAAGGCCTGGATATCATCCACTGTCAATCTTACCAGGCGTACACCAGCCAGCCTTAGCAGCGGTGAATGGTGTTGAGCCTTACCAAGGATGTAACAGAGCTGCTGGATGAGAAACCAGGAGGCTCCAGGCCCGGTTTGCGGCCTCCCGCTGATGCAGGGCGGGGCCAGGCCTGCCCCCCGCGTGTCAGCCCTTGCCGAGGAGAGCACCTCTCTTCCTAGCCTTAAAAACATTCACCTCTTCACGAAGTTTTGCCTCTTGCAGAAGAAAGCTGGATTTCCCTTGCAGCGCTCGGGAAGAGCTGCCTCTTGTGAGTCCCAGCTCCTGTCTCCAGGCTGGCTGGGCCTCACCTGAGCTTCCCCGTACTCTTATTTGGTTGGGAAACCAAATGATATGAAATACCTAGGGAAATTGCCTTTGACAGCGTGTGTGGGGCAAGCTCCAGCCCAGAAGGCAGCAAAATGTCTGTTCGCCCCAGGGATGGGCAGCCTTAGACCAGGTTGCACTTGGATGGTGGAAGCTGTGCTGCTAACTAAAATAACAGTCAAATCTTGTTTGGATCTGCTAACACCGTTGTGAAGGCACACGCTGTGATTACATTTAAATAAGGGCGAGCTAATTTAATGACTGCTAATGACACTTGCAGGTACGTGAGCAAAAATAATAAGGGACTGAAGTGTTCATCTTCAAGGCATAAAGGTCTCCTTGGATGTTTAGCAAGGAATTTTCCTCTGGCATTGCAGTCAGGTGGGTGCGTCTTGGGTGTCTGGCCTTTCTCTGAAGTACCAGGGGTTGGCTGCTGTTCATCAGCCAGCATTTCTGGCCCACACTGCCAAATCCTGCGTGTAATATAATGAAACAAGCATGGGAAGAAATTTACATTACATCTCTTTTGGATGGTGTTAGGCCTTGTGGCCTTGTATATAGCAAAACATCTGAGTCCTCTTTCAACTGGGTTAAAATCCTAAGCAATGTGTCAGCAAGAAGATTGCGGTGGAAAGTAGGCTGGGCTTGTTTGATAATTAAAAAGACTGTGGCAGCTTCCTCTCTTGGAACACTTACACTTTTGGTTGAAGGGATTGTTGCCAAGATTGGTAAGCTCGAGGGGTTTACATTTGATTTGATCCGGGCAATGCTATATTTCCATGTTTTTTCTAGGTGTTTCCAGGCTTCATGAATCAAAATACTCTGTCCTGCAGTAGACTTGCACTTGGCGTTGTGTTTAGCTCAGCTGAAACAGACCTGGAGTGAAAGTAAATTGCCCTGATCACTATCATCCTGTCCTAACTGTTGAGTTAAGGACAGGTAACGCAAAAGGTACAGTATAAGCACAATCTTTAAGGGGCACAGGGAGATAGAGACTAACATTTGCCTTTCCCACACTTAGGCATTTGGACATCACAGTCGTGCCCAGAGTGCTCCCTCGAGAGCAGACTGAAACTAACCAAGACTTGCTTACTGCTTCTCAGCTGCTGCTTCTGTTAACTTTATGGCTGAATCAAGAGCAGCAGCATTAGTCTAATCTTAGGGGTGGAAGAAAAGAAAATCTTTGAGAGGAAGAGACGCACTAAGATGCAGGGTGTGTCTAGGGCAATGGTACTCAACCTTTTTAGATTCAGGGCACCCCTTGTTAAATTTGTGGCACCTGCCAGCTCTTACCTTCACTTGTTTCTTGATGGGAAAAGTAGCAGAGCAATTTTTTGCAATAGAAGAACTCGAAAGACCACAACAGGTCAGAATGGTTTTGATTTTATGGGTTCCTATTTGAAATCTTGTGAATTTTACAGGTGTTTTTACACCTAATAGTGCAGCGTGCCATGCAGTATCCTAAAAAGAATATAATGGCATCCCAGGGTGCCATGGTACCCTGGTTGAGAATCACCGGTCTATGATTTGGAAGATGAGGTCCACAAATGATATATGGGGCTGTGTTGCTGTTGCACGCCAAATGTGTTCCCATGATTTCTGGGGCTGCAGTGTCTGTGTGCTCCATGGAAGCAAAGCAACCAGACCTTAGGAGAAAGAGATCTTATTTGTTTACTAGCCCATACTTTAAGCCAACAGAAAAAGGAAACAGGCTCAATATCTTACTGTAGGTTCTTAATTTGTTCCTCTTTAGCTAGGCAGAGTCATTGAGAAAGCAGGGATATCCCAGGAGATGTCTTTAACCCAGAAAAAAAGGAAGAAGAGTGAAATTGGGGTCAAGTAGGGTGTATTGCTCCAATATAGCAAAAGAGAAACAAAGGGAGGAGAGAAGTGTGCAGAAAGTGAGAAAGAAGATCAGGCAAAAATTGAAAGGAAAAAAGTGATTATGGCATTGTGGGGATAGATCGGATTTCAGGTTTTTGGTTGTTACCCTGATGTAATAAAATAATCAAAAGCAATAAGATCTCTTCCTCCAGTGGGCATTTCTTTCTCAGCCCATGGTTGCAAGTTTGAGAGAGAGTCAGTTTCCTCATCCAGCTGGCAGCAGTCCCATTTAAGAAAAGTTCAAAATGGGTCTGCATTCATGGGAAGTTGGGGCAGCCCATCTGATCTCTATATTTTGTTGTTAATTGACTTAGCTTGGTGGAAGAAAAAAAAAGTGAACATCAAAGTCATTCTGAATTTCCTACGGCAGTAAATGAATGTGTGCTCCTACAGTCTAGTTTTCATGATCAGCCTATCCACAGTAACTGCTGAATGTGAGAGAATAGCACTACAGCAGAGGTTCCCAATCTGTGGTGCGGGTACCACTAGTGATACACAAACAACCCGTAAGTAGTACACGTTAACAGATTTATTATAAGTAATTTATATGACAAAAAATTTACTGGTGGTGCTTAAGGTTGAATTGAAAAAATTGGTGGTGGTAAGGCTGTATCATTTTAAATTGGTGGTGCTCAATCTATCAGTTCGGGAACTGCTGTACTACAGAAATAGGTCAAGGTGTCTGTGATAATGAGGGTGGAAAATGTTGGTGTAGAGAGTGATGGAGAGATTTCAAGCTTCCGTAAGGTTACTATAGAGCAATTTATTTTTCTTAATATTGGGGGATTGCCAGTGTCATCATGATTCAGGAAACAAAGTGATCAAACAGCCTTGTGGTGTGTATAGAAACAGTGTTTTTACAGTCCTTTCTGTGGTGCTGCAACTCCTGAATATACCTGTAGGGGGAGTCCTACATTTTTTTTTCTGTAGATTCTGCCATTGTTTGAGAAGAGTCGTGAAACCTGGATTTCTTGCTTTTAGGAATCAAAGCCTTCTTTGATACTGTCTTTTTTTCGATACAGAATATATATATATTCTGGAGAGAGATGGATGTATCTATATAAAAATACTCTGTGATGTCATTTGTTGGTATAGTGTGAAGATTGTGAAACTTCTGGGGAATACATCTGCAGAGCAGCTATCTTCTGTTATGTACTCTGGCTAAATTATGGTTCTTTTAATGCATGGCTCACATATTGGGGAACAGTGGCTACAGCATTTGTCCAAATGTTCCTTGTTCTTGCAGGTGTTCTAAGGAATTGGAACCATGACGGACTCCAAGTATTTCACAACTAATAAAAAAGGTGAGCTTTAAACTATTCTAGTGTATTGGAGGCTCCTGGGGACAGTGAGTGCCTATTTTAAAATGAGGTTTTTAACTCCATACAACAGAGTTTGTGCTTTCTTATGTGCTGTGTCCCCATTTCTCTTCTTAGTCATCCAGAAGCTGTTCAAAAGTAGGCCATAAAACAGTTCGAACACCCAGCCCCCTCCCACATGATGTCAAAAGACAGGATTGATGAATTGAACATGCTTGCAGTATGCAAACAAGGCAGCCCCAATTACCTTTTCTGGCTCTGTATTACTTTCTGGAAGGTCAAAAACAGAACTTTGGGATTTGAAACATACAGCAGCCTTTTATAGAGATTTATATACAGGGCAAAGTGGTCGGGACTGCAGGCAGTGCATTTAAAAGTGGACCTAACTAGAAGCGTGCTTGGGTTAGCTGGAAGGAAAAAGCAGAGTTTAAGGATGCAGACTAGTTGTCTGTGTAGTTGTAGCCATTGGGAGTGTGGGGAAAGTTGGGCCACAAGTCTCAGATAGTATGTATGTGTTTTTAAAATATTATGGGTCTCTTCTTGCTGCCCCTTGCCAGTCCTGGTGAAATCTACCAAAGGAGGAAGACCCATGCACTTTTCTCACCTTTGTCCTTCACATGACTTCCTCTTGGGTTTATAGTAACTATGATGGCTGCCTAGTGATATACTATAAAATGTGTTGAAAAGAGAGGTTTTTTCTGAGTAACTTGATTCATGGGCATAAAAAAGGCATAATGCACACATCAGGGTAGTTGTGGACTTCCTCCTTCATTGTGAAGTCATTTTTTCTTAGTTTAACTTCTAGCATAAAGGACTAATGGAAATTATGGAACATTCATGCCAAACCCACTGAACTTGGCCTTTTCCAGTCGCAGTGGGCCTGTCGAACTAATCCTACATTGGATACTGCCAAGATCAAAGTCCTGATTGAGGGGAGAATGTTGGTTTGATTATGTCGTCCATAGCCCCTCTACAGTGACAGAGTAGCTAGATGTTTCTGTTGACCAGTTACTAGTAACTGTGTGATGACATTGATGTCATTATGCTTCAGAGTCAACACACCCTTGGATCTAATGGAGTTCACATCTTTCTGAGAAACAACAGCACTCTCAACTTACTTCTCTTTGACTGAATCTGCAGGTTCTCACTGAGATGATTATACGAGGCCTCAAAACTGTACATCCTTACTCAGCGGAAAGGGAAAATGCTGGTGGTGCATACCGACCGGTTCAGTCAGGCTCCTGGGCAGGATCTCAGCCTGTTTATGATCTGGATGTCTTTTTCAGGTAGCTGGCAATATAAACAGACACCCCAGCATTCCCCAGAACAATAATTTCATTCCTTTTCAGGAGCCCTGCTAGTGAATGCTACCAAGGAAGAGAATGTACCTCACTGTAAAATACCGTGTTCATTTATAGCCCTGTAGAAGTAATTCATAACAACTCGGCAATCTTCTAGCAGCTAGTTTTGCTGCTGCTGTTTCCTATGGAAGCAGTGGCTTGCTATTACCTGGGCCAATCAGCCGATGAAGCAAGAGGGCCAGCATCTCTGCAGCACTTTCTTTTTGATTTCCTGGCCTTGCCTAATTTAAAACTCTTGGCACCCAGTACATTCATGACGCAGATGGAACAAATGGCTGGGCCTGAGAACCTGAGGCAATGCTTAATGAGAAGAACAGGATTTATGCACCTCTCTTCTCTCTCAGCAACCCTGGCTGCTGCACCCTGTTTCCAAACATGCCAGCCCACTAGGCTTCCTTAAAATTGCCGTTTGGATTAGAACATTTTTAAGGATATTTATTGCATCCTTAATTTAAAGGAGCTGGCAAAAAATCCCAAGCAGGCTCCTTTATCCAGTCTGTGGTTTCATTGGCCTGTTTCATTGCTGGCTTATAAACTTGATCTACAGTAGTCCCTGACACTAACAAATCCAGTTCCTCGTGTATTCTTTATTGTTTTCAACTCCCTTTTCCTGTTTTGTTTGCCTTTAGAAAATTGTGCTCACTTCCTTCACCTGTAGTTTGGCATGGTGGAATCAACAATAACACACCATACCCCCAGGGGACTGTTGTCATATGCTGATTTATCTGTTCCTCTTCCTGTTTAAACGGTGATCAGGAAAAGCTGGAAAACTAGGGTGGGAAATGCTTCTTTGGTTTCAGAGCTGCGCACTCAGATCCAAGAGTCTCATCCACATACCTACTAGAGGCCCAAAGAATATCTTCTCTGTTGGCTGGTTCTGTATCTCTGCTAATCGTTAAGGGAATAGGTACCTGTCACATTATTCAGCCCTCATACTGCAGTTGTAGGTTCTGTAGAAGACTCCTATGATAGATGGGACCATACCTTATCAGTGGTATATGGGAAACAATGGTTCAGACCTTGCAATGTAGCCTTGAAAGAGGTGTTTTGTCCCCAAAAGCTCATCTCTGCAGTTAGCCTGGACTTCTGCCATTCTGTGTGTCCTTATCGGATAGCTTGTATCCAGTGGTGATGCTGCCTTCTCTGTGTTCCTGCAAACCATCTCCAGTTGGAGGGAAAGTTATTTCCCTTCCCAGGCCAGCTGGATTCTATAGATAGATATTGTCCAAGCAGGTTCAGGAATCTGCTGTGGATTGAGGTTTACTTTATGGCTGCAGGGATCCGTCCTCAATTGATTTCTCTACACGGTAACAGCCGGAAGAGTTAATCTCATAGAAGGTCCCTTCAGTCACTTTATGGATGGCATCAGGAATCCAGGCCTTGCACTTCCCCTGGTTTCTGTGCTTGTTAGCAATAGTTCTCCCTTTTTTAACCTTGCATGTATTTTTCTGTTGGAGTAAAATTGATGCAGCTGTTCCTGCAATGTCTGTATTGCACTGTGACCTGTGTCATCTGCTGTTTCCTCATTTGTGCTTTGAGGAAGCAAATGATGATAACTAAAGGTAGGACAGTCCAGAGAAAATAATTAGCTGAACTGAGCCACTGTTTCTTACATTTTCTGTTCCAGGATGGCCTCTCTCTTCCCCCAGGTTTTTGTTTGATCCTTGATATGCTTCAGTGGCTAATTTAGTGATGCTGATCTAATGTTCCTTGAAAGTGGCAAGTTTTGATTGTACTTCATTACTTTTATTAAACATTTTGAAGCCACATCCTCCATATTATTATTACTGCAGCTCTGAAGATTGCCTTATCACTGTATCATAACCTCCATACATTTTGCAGGCCCCATGTGCTACTGCACCAATTCTCTGACTGTAGCGGACTGAAAAGAATGTCCTTAGGATACCATCAGCACTGCTCTTTAACTCAACAGGTTAGCTCAGTTAATCTTTCCTTCTTCTTGTCACAGGCTACCTCAGCTTGGATTGGAAAAGTCCAATAATCAAATTGGCACACACATGGTGGTTTTCTGGTTTCCCAGTAGCTAATGAATCACTTGCACTAGCCTAGAGGCAATGGCATTTACTTTTCACCTGTAGTGGTGGCACAAATCATTCTTCAGGGAGCCCTAAAGCTAGCCTTTCTCTTCATCTGAGCTTCAGGCTGTTGTGTCCCTTTACAGGAGAGATCTTCGAGCTCAAGGCTGAGCTCAACAATGAAAAGAAAGAGAAGAGGAAAGAAGCTGTGAAGAAGGTTATTGCTGCCATGACTGTAGGGAAGGATGTAAGGTAAATGCTGCTTTTGCTCTTCCTGGTGGTCTAACTTCAGCAGGTCCAGTCCTCCCCTATCCTACCTGGGGATCTTTCGCTCCTGAATTGGGGTACAATGAACAGCTTAATCTTGGAGGGGCTGGCAGAACCAAGGGGCTTTGCAGGTTTGGGGTCTGGGTTCTTTATTAGATCAATGGGAGTTAGTGGCAATATGGGGGAAATTTTATCTGTCTTTGGCAGCCCTTTTGCTTGGTTCAAACCAGTTCTCACTTGGTGATTTCATGAACAGTGATTTAATCACAGAATGAAAAAGTAACCAGTCCCAGATAAGCCAAAAGCTGTGTAGTTGTTTAAAACCTGTTTGTAACTCAGCTATTTTAGATGTCCTATCTGAGCTGACATTTTCAAATCAAGTTGTTAATCCAGAATTTTTTTTAAAGTTTTAAAAAGGCATTGTTTTTCAGATACCTCTTAGCTTGTGATAAAGTCATTAAACTGGGCCTTTAACACTTAATCGCGCTTGCTAAAGGGAAACCTTTAAATCAAAGGCAAATGACTGCCGATATTTTTCTTTTGTAGCAGCTGAAGTGACTTGAGTCAAGGCTTTCTCCTGTCAGCTTCTCCTAGATCCTGCAGTAAAGTCATAATAGTCCTGGATTCATGGTGACATGGTCTGTTGCCAGGAAAATAAATGTAAGGTTGCAGGTTTAGCAGCATGACTTAATTGCAGGATGAAGGAGCAAATGAAGCGTTGGAGGGAAGCATCTTTCAGTTAGCCAAAGACCTTAACCTTTAGATTCTCATAATGGACCTGAGATATGGAGATCCCGTATAACCTCTGAGTTTCCTCTGCAATGCTACTTACTAGTTGCCATTTGGTATTTATGTAAGACTCTGGTTATTGCAGTTTTAATTTCTTAATCGTTTTAGATTTTACCAGCCTGAAATGTGCTATATAGGTTCCTCTAAACAAGGCTCCATTCTCAAGCAAAAAAATCTGAGGATTTATTTGTTTCCTGCTGTTGCCAGTTAACCCCCAAAGCTGGGCACATTAACATTTTGTCTTGTTCTGTCAACTTCCTAATTGGATCCAATTTTGTATGAGCACTTTATTTTACCTGCTTCAGGCACCAGTTTAATCCAGGAGGAGATTAAATGATTAAACAGTTACAAAGTCCCCTGCAAACTGCTTTTGAAGAGGAGAGTGACCTCTAATTTGAGCACAGAGTAGTCATAACAGAATATATGGGATATGTTCCAGTGTTCCCCTGGCCTCAGTCAGTAATGTTACCATGTAGTCAGGAAGCTCCCTTTCCCTTTGCATATGGTAAATGTAACTTTTCTCTCCCTTTGCCCCACTCTCATTTTATGCAGCTCTCTCTTTCCTGATGTGGTGAATTGCATGCAGACTGACAACCTGGAGCTGAAGAAGCTGGTGTATCTGTATCTAATGAACTATGCCAAAAGTCAGCCAGATATGGCTATTATGGCTGTGAACAGCTTTGTGAAGGTAACATGGAGCAAGGCTCATTAGAAGGCTCCCTCCTATGGTTCTTGTCATTGTGCCTGCTTTGGTGTGTACTGTTTATCACATGTAGTCTGTGGCTTCGTGCTCGAAAGTTGCTGGACTGAATTGGGATTGTGTCTAAGGAAGCAAAATTATCAGTGGACCAGACCAATGGGCCCATCTGAAATTGTTCCCTGTCTCCATCAGTAGGCAACACCAGGTGCTTTAAAGCAGGGGCAAGAAAAGTTCAGCCCACGGGCTGGATCCAGCTGGCAGTGGACTCCATTTCCTAACAGTGCCTGCCTGCATGGCTGGGGCTGATTTCCATGGAGACTAGAGCAGCAGTCGCACTGATAGCGGAAGGCCAGGGTTTCCATGGAGACCAGCCCCAGCAATGCTGGCAGAGTATGTGGCAGGGCAGGGAGCTGCTCTGGGGCTGGGCTGGGATCTTGCAGCAGTGACAATGTGGTCTGGAGCCGGGGTAGAGCCATGATCTGCAGCCTGCATGCTCTGGGCTGGGGAGTGTAGGCAGTGGATTGTGACTCCTCGGCTCACAGATTTTCCCTTTTAAAGGAGACAATCACGGGAAACCATGGGTTTCCCCTTGCAGGCAGGCAGAGTTCCAGCCTACAAGGCTGCTTAGGCCTCAGGGGAGTGGGAGAAGGGTGATTGGGGTCAGGGGACCATGTTCATGCGCACGCACAAACATGCACATGGATCAGAATGCAGACAGGCAGCATGGTAAAAAGCAGCTCTCTGGAAGTAAGTTTATGGGGTGGGGGGCATAGGCGATGTATGGGAGAACATGTGCCTCCCCCTTTCAGATTTCTGCACCTACAGTGGGGCTTGGGGCTGCCGCCTGGCCAGACCAGCACTGAGCAGGTGCTGCCTCTGCAGTGCAGTGTGCAGGACCTGGCACAGGAGGGTGGAGTGGGACAGGGAGGCTCAGTGCTGCTGCCGCTGCTGCCCCTAGGAGTGCTACACCACCCTGGCCACCAAGGTGGGCAGGGGGGGCAGAACTCCATGGTGCCGCCACTGCAGCACCTCACCTTGGTGGCCATGGCATGGGCATATCAGGGCTGCTCAGTGCCCCAGAGCATCAGGGGGGGGACAGTTGCAGCTGGACCCGTGTCTTGGTGAGTGAAGGAAGCAGGGGGAGCTCTAATTTGCTATGATAAAAACCAACATCAAATACCAAAATATGTAGGTATTTAGAATTTATCTTATTATAATGATTGAGGTACTGGTAGACTTCCAAATTGCTTTAAAATTGTAAATATATAAATAAAACATTGTGTTCAGCTGATCCCTATGTATATGGTTGCGTTTCATTTTATTGCGGAAAAACGTGGATTTGGGGTTTTTTAATTAGAGACTTTGTGATTTTTTTGCTTACTGTCAGGCACAGCTGTGGCTCCATCCCCTCCCAGGACATGGAGCACATGGAAGCTCTGGCTCCTGCCTGACCACACGGCAATATCCTGGGGCCAGAGCTCCTGCTGCCACTGCTGCCTCAGC